TTAAATGCAGTTTCAAATGACTTAGGTAATAAATTCGGCATGCTTTTTTTTTAAATGACCTTTGTATTCGACATACAAAGATCATAAAATAGTTAAGCTTATTTGCGGTAAAATAATTAGCGTTGGAAATATTTGGTATAAAAGATCAGAAAGTAAGTTTATATGAATGATGCATTTAATGTAAAGCAAATAACAAATGCAATGAATCATTCCCTCCTGTACAGGCTAGGGTAGGTTATTTATTTCTATTATTTATATTTGTAGTATCCCTATTTTTCTATATTATCAATCACTTTGATAATATTATTTAAGCAAAATTCCTACATTACATTAACAAAAATTACCAATGTGTGATCTATTCTATTTCAATGATTCGAAAGATTAAATGAAAATGTTATTGATTTATAACTCAAAATATCATATTGCTAATAAAAATTCCAACTCGGCCAAATATGAAACATTCGATAAATTAAGCAAAAAAGAAATGCTTTCTTCTTGTCTCAGTAAAGTATGAAATAAAGAAAAAAAGAAGGGATTTCATTGATGGCAACTATTAATTAAGTCATTGTTATCCTAATTTGCATATTAGTCAAAACTTCACATTGCTATTCTCTAATTCTCTTTTACAATATTTCATTAAAAAATTTTTTTCTAACATACATTAATAATAAACACATATTTTTAGTATTACTATTTTTTTTGGCTCAAATAACATTGATCATTTTCCTACTTTTCTATATTTTCAATCAGTTTAATAATTTTACTCAATTAAAATTCCTACATTACATTAACAATAATTATTAATTATGAATAAACATTATTATTAATAAAAAACATTATTAAAATTTTATTAGATAACATTGAAAGAAGTTTACTTTCTATTTATGCTCTTAAACTCACTCATTCCATACTAGAATTTTCTCGAGAATTTTCTCAATCTAAATTGATCAATTTATTTAGTATTATTTGTTGAGCAAATAATTTGTCACTCTATTGTTATCACATTAATCTTGTCATTTCATTGAAATTTCATACGAATACTTTGTCGTTTTTTCTAATTGCAATAAATCGTTCATAAACAATGATCGATTGAATCGATTGTAATACTTATAAATACTAAATGTAAATATTGACTAATTCTTTCTTTTTTTTAACATTTTTCCCATTTCAGTTCTTAATTCAAACTTTATTTTACTTGTTTTCGTTGTTTAATTTGCTTAATTGCATTGTTAATTCAATAAATGTCAATTGCATCATTTACAAATTAAAAGATTCATATCTTTTAAATTTCAATAATACAAAGTTAGCATTTTATTGAATTAATTAAATGTTGAAAATTAGAAGAACATTAAACTATAACAGTCTTGAATAATTTAAATAATTTACTATGAAATTTGAAATAATGCTACAAATTTAAATTATAATATAAAATAGATGTGACAATATTTCCATGACGTAATAAATTATTTAAAAACATTAAGTCTTAAATTTATTTAAAAATATGAATTCATTAAAAAGAATAAATATTTTTAACTTAAATGGAATAAATTTGTCATATCATATTGTGTATCATAATATTTATGTGAAAGAAAGAAAGAAAGACTAATGATTTTTAAATTAAATATGAAATACTTACCTTATGTATACCTATTGAGCAGCAAATTTAATAGATTAGTCATGGTTTTAATTCATTTTTACAACCAAAATTAATTTTTAATAAAATCAATAAAGTTGAAAATATCTGTTTTTTTAATGAATTTATATATATCTAAATAATTTTAACACCTAATTAAAATAGAATTTGACATTATTAGAACTTATTTCCTAGTTTAAAATACAAAAAATCTTGCAAATTGTAAGATTTTCAAAAAATGCAAAATTTAAATTTTTATTAAAAATTAATTTCAATTGTAAAAATGAATTGGGGCCGTGAGCAATTAAAAATTTTATTAATTTCGCTACTGAAATATTGTTAAAAACTTTAATAATTAAGTTTTTTTATAGTTTATTTTATTATTATTACTGTGAAGTGACCAGACGGAACATGAAATGCATATAAAATTATTTTTTTTCTTGCATAAAAAAACAGAAAATTGGAACCTAATTGAATATTTTATAAACACAGCGCGGGAACTGGTGACATATTGTGGTCATTTGACATTATAAATAATAAAATAAACTTTAATAATTAATTTTTAAACAATATTTCAGTTGCGAAATTAATAAAATTCTTATTTAATCATGGTTTTAATTCATTTTTATGATTAAAATTAATTTTTATTTCAAATTTAAATATTAATTTTAATGAAAATCCTACAATTAATAAGAGTTTTTGTATATTAAACTAGAATATAAATCCTAGTATTGTCAATTTTCATTTTAATTAAGTGTTAAAACTATTTAAAAATGTCAATTCATTAAAAACAATAGATATTTTTAACTTAATTAATGTTTTATATGCACTGTACGGGAACTGGTCATATGCAGTGTATTTATTTGACAACTTAAATAATAAAATAAACTTTAGGCTTAGGCTTAGGCTTAAGGTAAACTCAGGCTTAGGCTTAGGGTGAACTTAGGCTTAGGCTTAAGCTTTTTTTCAAATTTAAAAATTGATTTTTGTGAAAAACTTATAATTTGTAAGAGTTTTTGTATATTAGACTAGGAATTAAATTTAGTGTTATCAAATTTCATTTTAATTAAGTGTAGAAACTATTTAAAAAAATCAATTCATTTAAAAAAAAAATGGAAAATTAGAACTTAGCTGAATATTTTATATATATAGTGTGGAACTGGTCACGTACATTGTGGTCATTTGACATCATAAATAATAAGATAAACTTTAATAATTAAGTTTTAAACAATTTTTCAGCAGCGATATTAATAAATATCTTGTATTAATTAAAATAGATTTTAGCATGTTTAAAAATTTCCCCAGCATTAATTTAACAAAAACTCTTAGAATTTATGGAATTTTCTTAATGATTCATATCTAAATTTATAATTAAAATTAATTTTGTAATCAAAAAGCAATTGAAATCATTACTAATTGCAAATATTACTAATTTTTACATTGTAAAGTTAGAATGGTTCGAATCATTCAATGATGTCGCCGATGATGACGAGAATAATTTAGATTATACTGAAGAATAGTTAATATGGTGGCTGTTTAGATGCTTAGTATTTTTCTTCAGGTGTTTATAATTCCTGTCTTTTTTTGAACTTTTTTTTGAATTATGAACTTTTCTGAATATCTTTGCTAATCTGTCACCAATCTCTTTGTCGAATTTAGCAAATGATGCTTCTTGGAGAGGTAAAATACTGAATTGATGTAAGTTTAACTGCGCGTTGCTATAGTTGGAGATAACAATGAAGGCGACATCGTCCACAAAAAGCAATGTTCGGCAATTATATTTAAAATTTTAATGTGAGAAGTAACTCCATCAACCAAATTTTCTAAAATATCAAGTTTTCATGATAACACTGAAAGAAAAAAGAAAAAACTAATAAAGATGCAATGAATACTTCTAGTTGAAATGATAAACAAAACACTGAAATATCTTTGTATACAATCAAAGAAAAGAGTAAAAAATTTTATCAATTAAATGATATGTTAACATTAAGCAATAAAACTAGTGAAATAAAAAAGAAACATTTACAAAAAGAAGTATGTGGCACACACACACAATTCTCGAACAACTTAAATTACCACAAACAAAAAAAGAAATCAAATTTTGCTTAATCAATCTCAGTTTCACCACATATGATTTAGCTCTTTAAATCTTTTCAAGTTCAATTTTTTCAAATACTTTGAGAAATATGATTACTTTTTGTAAAAGTGAAGCTGAATTGTAAATTCCTTTGAGTGAAATAGATACAGCGTTTAATAAACTCAATGATAACCATTTATATATATGGAAGAATTAAGACGAAGAGAAGATGAAAGATTATATGAATCATTTTTCATTCACAAATTTTACTGGATTATCAGTATTTTTGAGATACGAAAAGAAAATGCAATTAAAAAGACAATTCTATTTAAAATTTTCAATTTAAAATGGTGATATGGATTTGACGAAAAACAATTTCAAAATATTAAAAGAATTTATACAATTTAGCGTAAACACATAGGAGGAAAACTTTGCTAATTATTACACAAATTTAACATTTATCCTTGATTCAAAGAAATTTAAGAATTAGAAAGAGATGAGTATACAGATGTATAGCAGAGTAAAAACATTCTAAAAATCACTATATACTTCGTTTCTTATCATTTATTATGAAATACAAAATAAATACTTTGAGAAATTTTAATGCCTCTTGATCTCTTCTCTCTCTCTCTCAAAAAAAAAAGAAATAATAATAATAATAATAATAATTATTATTATTATTATTATTATTATTATTATTATAATAATTAGACAATAATTATATTAAAACAACAAAAATCTTTGACACAAATATGAAAAAATGAATATATATAGTACAATATATTAAACCCTTCTTGTCTATTTTCGGTATCTTTTCATGAATATTTTCATAACATAAATGAGATAAAACGAATAACAAAATCAAAGAATTTCAAAACAACATAGCAAATAAAAATATGAAAAAACTGACTAGAAGGAAATGCATAAAAAAAAGGCAATGTAAAAAAAAAAAGAAAAATATTCCAATAAATTTGAAATATGAACTTGAATACAATACAAAATACTATATTAATAATTCGAAAGAATATAGTTTTTTTAACAATATAAATGATTTAATACAACAATCATATCAAAATATTACAATATGTTTAGTTTATTGGATATAGGAATAATTTTAGTTTTTCTTTTTTGAAAACATCTAGTAAATTTTCTGTTTATTTTTCAAAATAACAATAAAACTACCTATTCACAATCAAATGTAATAACCAAATAGTTAAGATACACATCTAACAGCTTTTTTGAATTAAAGACAAGATGTACAATATAATACAAGTAAAAGAGAATTAACTATTAAGTCATATCTGGATGAATAGTTAATTGCTTTTGAAATGTGCGTAACTTTTCCTTAATTGTATTGGTTGCGTTTTCGTATTCATTTGTGAGCTTCTTTTTATCAAAATGTGTCTGGAAATAACATAATCAATTACTTTCACACTTCACATTTATTCATAAACAATTGATTTACACATTCACAAACAATTAAACAACACCCAATCCATCTTAGTTGGCTTATTTAGAGCTTATAAAATCACAATTAGTGATTGTAAATGATCATAAGCAGAATAAAATTTATAATCATTCCGCTTATTGAATTAAGTAATTTCATTTTATTATGCACATAGAAAGTTATATAATAACTTACCGCTGATATGAAAACGTTGCGATCTGCATAAAAATCGTAAAATTTCGACACCATATCTACCAGAACACTCAATGAGGATGCCTCATTCTCAATAACTCTAAAAGAAAACAACAAATAACTTAACAAAGGTTTATTTTTAAAAGAATTGAAAACTTACGAATCGATAACTTTATTAATCCTTCTCGTGTCCTCGACTGATTTCCTGTCTTTCCTACAATTTAGCACAGTTTGAATTGCAATAACAATCATAAAAAGTTCGAGAATGAACAAGATGAAGTTACTTGCATGTTTCAATTTTAATTCAATAAAATTATGAAAGTCAACCTGTGCTGAAGATATTGGATGAGATCGGCAAATGTATCCAAAAAATCATCCATGCAATGTCCACTTAATTCGTATAATCTTTTCCTCTTAAATAACTTATCACCACTTCCAATATCCTTAAAATTGCCTCTAGTACAATTTGCAACTTATAAATTTGTTATAAATATCTTTTATAAACAACTTAATGTTTAGTTTTTCTATAAGTTTTGAATATATGAAAAACCAAAGTGAGTATCAACTTGAAATCAAGTTTACAAGCCAATGAATATTATCGTTCAATTTCAATCGAATTATTTTACCTCCTTCTTTGCTTTTCGAAATGAATAAGGAATTGGCCGCGATTGATGAGTTTCACGCTTTTCTGACACTTCATAGCTTGCTTTTTTATAACATATAAAATTCTGAAATTCCTTTTCACCAGCTGCTAGCAATGATGAAAATGAATTTTTTTGAGGAATAAATGTAAATGATGGCGAAGAAGAATGGTGGCATTCAAGTGGTGCAAATAAATTGCCTACAACTTTTTTAGCTGCTGTAATTTGTGCAGTTTTAACAGTTGATGACGATGGCTTATCAGTTAGTGTAAACGAGAAGTCTGACGGTGAGATTTTCTGAGAAGCATCTCTCATCATAAACTGTTGGCTTTTGTCCTTTGATATATCAGTTGCTAGCAAATGCAACAACTCCTGAAATAAAAATATGATTTTAGATGAAGAATTTAAAATACATTCAATCCAATCTCTTTTTTTTTGAATTAAATGAATTTGTCTATGTTTAATTCATGTAATTAAATAAAACATGTAACAAAATTAGAAGAATTTAGTTGCGCATAATTACAAAACTGACAGAAATTTTGTACAAAACTGTTATTAGGAGATCCAACAGAAAATAAAACACTGTCCCAAAATAATACAAATATAAACTATATAATAATATATATTACTTAGTTAATAAATTGCAAATGCAACTGAGCTTACAAGGAAAAAGAAAGTAAAAAATTAAGAACGAAGTACACTATACACATGGAAACTATTATTTCTGAATGCGACTATATCTCAAGCATAATGCACTCAGAGGACATTAATTTATTAAATGATTTAATTTTTTTTCATAAATTTAGAAAAATTGGTAAACTTAAAGAAAGCTAAAATAATAACAAAAATCATACGTCTCTATCAGCTGTTACGATATTATGTGCCGCTGCTTTGACTGCAAGATTTTTATCATTTGTGGCAAATACCACACGAACCGACTCATTCTCATCTGAAAAAAAAAATATTTCTGGGATCAAAAACTTTCAAAAAACAATAGAAATTATGCTAAAGACTTAATTATTAAAATGATATAAACTGAACAGTTAGGAATAAGGTGTGCAACAGAAATAGTGAAATAAAAAAAAAAAGAAGCAATGATGTGTGAAACATGAAATAAACAAAGTTAATATACATTTTTTGGCAGTTACAAATGCACATTTCAAAATTATATCATCGTTATTTTGGCATCCAAATTCTTCCATACCATTTAAAGCCTAAAAAATATTCGACGAATGAATGCCACAGCCACCAAAGTTATGAAATTTATATTTAAGAAAAATTAGGATATAAATTGCAATTTTGACTATAACAAACCTCGAATGTGGTTTCTATGAACAAATAATTGCATCCACGTTTTATACAATCATGCAGATAAGCAACTGTTTTTACAGCTTTAGATCGTAGTTCATCACATTTCTGAATAATATTTTCTGATGCAAATGCGTAAAATAATAAAAGTAAATTAAATAGTAAAATATATGCATTACTATTTAGAGACTAGGGAAATCATGATACAAATTGTAACCAACAAATTGCGATAAAACTGTTAAATAAGTAAAAAATGAAAAATTGAAATTGAAAAAAAAAGAAAAAAAAAACATAAAAATACAGTCTAAAACCTACTGCTCTCTTTAAGCCATCTAATTCCTGCAACACTGTATATGGAATAAGTGAACAGCATATTTCTGTAAAATAATCATTATTACAAAAGAAAAAAAGAAAAAAAAAGCTTATCCTTATGACAAGAGTGTTATTTTTTGAAATATCATAATGAACATGCACTGATGAATATGGTTCGATAATGGAATTTTCGACATATACAAATATACAATGTATAACTTTAAAATGCTTAAAATAACTTTCATTACGTTCTAGATATTCTTTTTCAAAATATCCTCTTTTTCCTTTATCAAAATAGTATTTAAGCATGACATAATACATACTTCCGGTGCACATTGGTAAAAGTGTTGTATCTTGAAGAAGGCAACTTGTGTCGAAAACTATAAGTGCCACAACAGCATTTTTGGCCGTTTCACAAACTTCCATATTTTTTGCAGTATGGAAAAACTGCGGATTATTCTGAAAAATAAACTACGAAAATTATTATAATACGGAAAGTAATGTAAAAATTGAATAATTGCTTCCAAAACATCACTTATTAGTCATATTTCATCTTCAAAAATATCAATATGTAAAAACAATCTATTCCCTTTTAAAATTCGTAAATTTATTTCTTCAAAAAGTTGTATAATGTGACATATCAGGATCAAAATAACTAAAGAAACACAAACTTTGGTAAATAGATTAGGATGCAAAAAGTGTTCTCGTCGAAAAGCTTGCACTTCTTCGACAACGAAATCGATCTCCATCGGCTCTTCGTGATAATTTATTCCTAAAGCAGTAAATGCTTCACATTTCTATAAGTCAAAGGAATTTCTGATCAACTTATATTAACTTTGGAAGTAAGTAACACCTACCAATCAGCAGGATGCTACGTTAACAGATGTTATAATATTTGGAAAACTAGAAACAAGACGAAGAGTGGCAAATATCTAACATATCTATCTGTATTCAGCATCTCAACGATTAGCAAGTGGCTCTATAACAATTAGAAAATACAAAAATGAACTTTACAAAAGAAATCAAAAACAAAAGAAGACCTTCTATGCTAATTTCATCGATTTCCATCAGCTCTTCATTTGATTCGCCTGTGTTTGGAATATTCGAGCAATGGAAGTAATCAATTTTATTGGACACTCCCTTTCCAACATTTTCTGGAACCAAATTTCCTCGAGAGTTTACATCGCCTCTGAATAACAAAAGAAAATGAATAATGGATTTCTGAAAAGTTGTATATAAAGGAACGAATCTGTCGTAACTATACCATATTTTTCTCTCAGTTTCCCCATTAGCAAAAATTTCCACTGAAGATTCGACAAAAAAAATCTCATATTCTTATTAATGTGTAGTTAATGTTTCTTTGCAACTTATTCATCAAGCAGAAACTTTTTTTATGAGGAAAAATAATCTCTGTTGAAACTTAATACTGTGTAACAAAATACAAAATAAAAATAAAAAAAAAAACAATAAAATAACGTTCTCTTTGCACATTTTAAAATGACCTAATATGATTCATTCCGTGAAATGGCTTCCAATACTCGTAACTGGTAAAGCAGTGATTAAGAGAATCAATTATGCAACGACTTTTCTACCTTCTATTAATGGTAAAATAGAACTTTTCCTCACTTTCCCAGAATATTTAAAGTTCTTTGTTGATATTCTATATCCGGTTGTTTCGTAGATAAATCGGATTCACTCAAAGGATTCTCCACAACCGATATTTCCCATGTTGACTGCTTTGTCTCCGTATTGAAATAAAATATCCTGAAATACAATAAAAGATAAAGTTGCTTAGAAATTTGAAAAGATTGCAAACAGACGCGTTGTAATTTTATTCTTATCTTTTACTGCTCTTCTGCTTATCCTTGTCACCATGTTTTTATTATTTCATTCATCCCTTAGTTGTAATATTCACATATTTTAAGAAAACAATCATATATTTCTCTTCAGCAAACGTATCTCTACGTCTACATATTTACAAAAAATTTCCGTAAAATATTTCTCAAAGTGATATGCTGTAATTCTTTACTCCATACTTTTCAGTGTTTACTTATCATCTGCATCTTATTGCAACAAATATTACTCGACTTGTTAAAGTAACTAAATACGTTGTGAAAACAGACAATGCTACAAAGTTACAATGCATCAAACATATTTATATCTTCTCTTATGCAAATTTACATTATCCTTTCTTCATATATAAATTTTACGTAGACTAACATTATGTCTTAAATATCCTTAATCGTTTTTTCTTTCCTTTTCCCCCTAAATTTCTGCAACAAACCACATCATGATAGTGTGACATTAGCATTTGATTATGATATATCTGTTAAAAGAAATATCAAAACTAAAGTAAAAGTAACATATTATATAGCTTAAATAAATTATGTATTTTAGTAAATTTTACAATCACCAATAAAAATTAATTATCTCCAATCAATGTTTTTTTAATTACCACATTCATTTTCTTTACTTTTATAACATAATCTTTCGACTATTCTTAGTCTTATCTATTTGCTTGAATAAATTAATTTATAAAGAGAGGAAAATTCTTTAACCGTTTTCGTTTGTCCGAATAAAATGCTTTCCATGGTTCTGGTAAACCAAGCACATGAATTTCTTTCTTCTTCCTACTCATTATGATGAAAAATTTGAACCAAACAGAAATGAAATACAATACATGAAACACCTGAAATAAATAATGGATTTCATTTCAAATAAAATAAAATGACGTAAATGACGTGGCACAATTTACGCTTAAACATATAAATGATTAGATTTTTTTTCTGCTGATTATATTAAATTTATTATGCTTTTTCATAAATTCTAGCAATTAAAATTAATGAGATAATTAAATTAATCAATAATTGAATTAAATTAGTAATTAACTAAGCAAATTTTTAAATCAAAACCTACTCACATAACAAATTAGTGCTACCTTAACATAAACACCCTCTCCTTACTGTCATCTTTGGGGTCACTCATCTATTTCCACAGTCTCTCAACATATCGCACTATCTCACAAATTTTATCAATCTTTGTCTCTCTCAAATCTCCTGTTTCTCTTTTCCTCTTATTCTCCGTCGACTTACAGTTAAATGTTGATAACTACGATAACCCCCGTCGTCTCTTTACAAATAATGCTATTTTTTTATTCTTACAAATCTCGCTCTGCATTATTTTTTCGCTGTGTCAACTCCACCCCACAAACTCTTTTCTAACTATCACTCTGACGTCTCAAAACCATAACTGAGAGCTTTGTGAAACTTTTGAGTCTCAATGTACTACTGTATGTTTTACTTAGTTTTAATTTTATCTTTTTTATTAATTTTACTTTTCAGGATGTTTGATAGCTTTGAAAATTATAAATTTCGGTAATGTCACACTTTCTGGACAGCGAATTACGTGCACTTAGTGCTGCTCAACTTAGTATGTTTTGTCTTAAACTTTAATAATATTGAATAAATTTGAAATTTTTGTTCAACCTTGCAGAAAAAGATGATTCATTTATTTTGTTAATATTTTCAGTTTTTATATTTTATGTAATTGTTTCAACTTTATTTGTCCAAAAATAAAAACTGAAAACGGTTTTTTTCAACAGTTTAATAATAAAAATTACTTTTGAAAATTGTTATTTAATTATACCAATGTTTTTGCGAAAAACAACTGAGACTTTTATATTGAATTATGGAGTAGTTCAGCTACTAAAATGAAGTTTTCCTGTTAAGTTACTGTTCATTGTGATATAATTTTGGGCCGAATTTCAGAGCAAGAAAAGCAAAGTACGTCTTCGCAGCTCCTTCATGTTCAGCAACAAATTAGCGATTTGGCTTACGGAAATTATCGCATTTATGCAGATGCAGGAAGTACCACAGAACAATGCAAACAACTGGTCAGTTTTTTTCGGAATATGAAAAATGATCCAATTTTGTGCTATAAAACTTTTGTTTTGCATGAAATTGATCTTAAGTTTTTCTCATTTAAAAGATGCTAAATTTTTGTTAGAAATGTTTGTTCTTTATAGTCATGCAGAATTGGTACGTTAAATTATAATTTTGTTAGATCTTAATCTTTTATCATTTTTATTCGTCTCAGTTAAATGTCTTTTAGGTTTGTTTTTAAAACCACTTAAACTGCTTAAATCCTAATGTTATAAAGACTGATTTACAATAATTATGTAAAAAATAAATAAGTGGATTTCTAGAGAAGTTCAAATTTACCTCCAACGTAGCTGATACTTAATCCTTTTGAAATTTTTATGAAATTATCCGAACTGATGCTAATACACTAAATTTATGTATGACGAAAAGATCGAAGAACAAATACAAATAAATAATATAAAAATTAAAAAAATATTGTGTGAAAAAAAAGTTGATATTACAACGATTAATTTTGTTGATCGAAATTTCCCTTCATAATTTTATTTTAAAAATTTCTTCATTTCTACATGAAATGAAGAAAATAAAACGCTTTTAAGTTTGGAAAAGCAAACGATTTGGTTGGAGATATTGAAAAAGGGATTGAATCGATACGGGAATCCTTGAAGCAATTTGATTCTAAGAATGATGAAGTCGTACAAGAGCTTCATCATTTACAACTTGCTGAAAGTAAAAGTTCACACTTATGGGATATTCTAAGCTTGCCAATGGTAAATTTTACAAAAATTATTTGGAACATTTTGAAACTAATCTTTGAAAATGATTCAAAAATCAAGACTTAAAATTGCAACAAAATGGTATTTTTAATTTCTAAAAGAAACTGTAATTTGACTTCGAAATAGTAGCTGTATGATTGTGTTTTTCAATTTTAACTTCCTATAACCTTGAGATATTTGATCAAAATCTGGATTTCAGCGTATGGATATATGTATTCGAGCTGGTTACTATGATATAGCTTATTTGTTGACTAATTATGGAGTGCAATTGCAAACACATGGACTCACTAAAAATTCAATAATTAAGGTTTTTATAGAATTTGCTTGGTATTTAAAATATTATGACAGTTTGCATTTCTTTTTATTTTAAAGTTCAGTTGGTTGCTTTCTTCTTTTTTCCTATCCTGTCCGTGTATATTTTTTGTGTATTTTATTCGGCTGGAATATTGCGGACTGCTAAAACAAAAATAAATATCTTCAAAGCTTAAATCTTTAATTTAAAGGTCGTGATGATTGTTCTAATGTTAGATGAAAGTTAAGAAGCCTTATAAATCCAAATTCTTGCATAGGGAGGAATGATTGCTTAGAATCAGTTATAATCAGTTATGGATATTTTAAGAGCAATATTACTGTCGAATTATTATCTCCTTGGCTTTATTAGTTAAAATTTTACGATGATTTCAAATTTGTTAACTATTTGCAGCAAGTTGCTGATAAGCTAATTGATGCTCGATATCATTTATTGGATGAATTGTTCAATACGTTTGCTGGGCCTATTGATTTGGCAAATAGTATTCAAGTTGTGAATAATATTCGAAAGATTCCGTATTTATCTTCGACACAAATGCGTATTATGATTTTACAGTATCGTGATGTATATCTTGAAAAACGACTTTTGGATATTCGAGTAAGCTGTTTCTTTTTTTTTTGTTCAAATACAATGAGCATTTTGGTTTTAACAACATTTAGTCAAAAGTTTATTAAAATTTGATATAATTCATGACATCATTCATGATCCTTTTGATAATTCATCTTATAGTTCATTGAAAATTTTCCGTGTATTTAGTAGTTCCTTTCTGGTTTATCAAAATATTAATAATTTTTATTTAGTCGCAGCCAGATTTTATCCTTCGAATGGTTGAGGTTTATCGTGATTGCATGTATGATACTATGGTTTTACATTTAGCTGTTTTTCCGGAAAATGAAATAAGCAGACGACAAACTGATGTGAAGATTTGTTTTTTTTTTTATTTGTCTTTTTTTAGAAACAATAATAGTAGCTTTTCTATTTCAACAATGACTTAAGATTAGTACAGAATTTAAAATTCATTTCAAATTTAATTTCTTGTTACAGTTATCGGTAGATCAGCGATGGGATGTTTGGCAAACAGCAGCTTCTTCCGTAATCCTCAGTGAATGGGCAATTCATAATCTCGATGTAATGTTCAGTCGCATAAAGTAGGTCATAGTTCATTCGTCATTCAAAAGCATTGTGATTTCAAAATTGAAGTGAGTATTCTAGCAATGTCAGTAATGAAGTGTACATTGATATTGGCTCTCTGTCGAGTAAATTAATGAGTTTTGCCTTATCGTTTGGCCGAATGGGGATGGATTTTCGACCAATGATTGCAGAAATCATTGATAAATTTGTCATCAACAGATTCTCGTTGAAAGTTCAAAATGCAGCGAATAAGTTAGTTTTATGCAAGCTTACAAGTTATAATTTATCTGAAATAAACTTTATGATTTAAACGTTCTATTTTTTTATGTGCTTTTTTGTTTAGTATTAATAATATTTTATTAGTAACAATGTTTTAGATCAATGGTAGCATTTCAGAATATTTTATACCTCTTATTTTAGTTTAAAACAATGTCGAAGCATAGAAATTGATGGAGAAATACCGGATACTGTATTTTCATCTGGCAGTCAAGATGGTAAACAACCATCAGCTCCTTCAGTACTTGCATTTTGGGATGATTTATGTGTTTACGGGAATGCTTTAATTGATGCTTTAAATGAATTGCGAAATGGCTTATCGCCAACTCAGGTAAACTTTTTTTTATTATTATCTATAAATATATATTTTATATTTGATATATTTTGTGATTCTAAAAATTTTAGTGGATTATTCATTTCTATAAATATTTTTAGAAGCTTTTTCGTTCATTTATTCATTTTCAGATCAACGCAGTTCTAAAAGAGTTAACGAATTCAGTGAAAATTGTTATTTGCTGGTTATGTGATATGGAAAAATTGGTTAAGAAAGCAGTAAGTTTTAATTTCTTTTAGTTTTTTTTTTTGCAAATATTGCTGTCATTGAGAAAGCAAATTCATTTGTAAAGGTAAGAAAGGTAATTAGGTTTGTTTGTTTTACATGTAAATAAATTATTGTATGTAAATAGGTTTGTTTGCTTTTGAAACAAAATTCTTTCACCGTCCTACATTGCAAATACTTAAGAATTTATTATGAATCTAAAAAGAAAAAAAAAAGCAGTATTAACTTTGAAAAGCAATGGATCACTTTAAGTAGTCTATCAAAAAGTACTTACAGACCTTTCTTATTATCGTTTTCTTTTTTATATAATTAATGTTATTTCAGATTATGGAAAAGGCAGTTAAATTATTTGGAAAATATTTTATACCATATATTAATGGCTGCTTATTGACTTTATATCCATATGAAAAATGTTGTCGACCATTTTATCATACTAGCTGTACGTTAGGACTATACGTAAGTTAATATTTTTTCTGGAATGTTAATTTAATTTCAAAATTTTTTTTTTATTCTATATTTACAGCGGTTTTTTTTGTCTTCTATTCTTATTGTTCACCTTATTTCCTAATTTGCTTTTTTTTTTTTTTTTTGTTTATCATGTTTATCCTTGATCTCTTTATTTTCGTTTTTGCTTTTTTAAAAAATATATTAAAACTATTTAAATTATGGCAAATTTTTTGTAGGAGAAAATGTGTGCTATACAGATTAAGGAGATTTGTAAGGATTGTCCTAATTCAACAGTAATTGAAAAATTGCTGGAAGAAGCGAACAATTCTATGAATGAATTTGTTGGAAGTATTTTAACTGTTACTAATGGAAATACAGAATATAGTGAAACAAATATTCCTGATAACAACGGTGTTCCACAGGAAGTAAGTTTAATAGTTTAAAATTTCATATTTTTTAATATCTAATTATTATTAGAAATGTATTAAAGTGTTTTTTTTTTTTCGTTTTTTTGTGGAGATAATCAAGATAACAGTGATGGAACTGATCTTGTTAATTATAATCAATGAATATTTCTGCTCAAAAAGTTTAGAATCAAATATACTTAGTTTTTTTTTTCTTGCTGTTTATTTTTTTTATTAAATAATAAGAGGTGTTAATTTTCATTTTGTTATGGGAAGTTCAATTTGTTATGAAATATTAATTGCAGGAAGTTGTGAAGTTATCATTAGATGAGGATGTAAAAATAGATGCACAGAGGGATATTGATCAACATGAAGCAAAAGATCATTCTCCAATAAACAAATTAGAGGACAATTCGGATGTTTAGATTTGGATTTGATTTCCTTCTTTTTTTTCTGATCTTTGTTTTTTTGTTTAAATTTGTCAATATGCATAGTCGTGAATGTTTCTGTGCATTCTTTTTGATTTGTTTACAGTGATAATTTTTGTGGTCTAAGGGTTTCTTTCAATCATTTTTGTTAGTGCATTAAAAATTCTATCCAGGTGATTTTAATTTATAAATACATAGCAATTCTGAGAATATTTGTTTATTATATGTTTTGTAACAGTAAATTATTTTAATGTATATATCATTGTTTATTGTTTTTACTGCATATAAATATTCTTCCATTGTAGTAAACAACTTTCATCTTTGTATATCATTAAAATTTCGAATGGATTAAGTACAGAACAAAAATACGGCGAAAGATATGACAGAAATAAATAGCAGAAATGGCAGTTCCGCGTATCATATCACATCGAAATTTTTTGTTCTTTTTTTTAACTGTTTTTTTCTTGAAATTCAACAATTCCATACCTAAAATATTTAAAATAATAAAAATTTTAAAAATAAAAAAACCACCTAATATTATTCATAATCTCCGCAATAATAATTAATTAAAAGATTTATTAAGTAGTGCAAATGATAAATCATTATTTTTACCACTATAATCACAATACATTATTGAAAACACTGATAAAAATGCACAAAATGATTCATATAGATACTGTGTACTGTTAAATGATAACTTATTATCATAATAATAGTGATAACAAAATGACAATAATAATTATTGGATAATAAGAATAATATCATAATAATGATAAAAATAGCAATAATAATTATTAAGTAATAATAAAATTTTTTAATAAATAGTAATGAGACTATTATTATTAATTGCTACTCTCATTAATTATTAGAATTATTATTATAATTCAAAATAATATATTATTATTACAGAATTTGTGCGGAATTTATTATTATTATTATTATTATTATTATTATTATTATTATTATTATTATTATTATTATTATTATTATTATTATTATTATTATTATTATTATTATTTTATTTATTACATCGACGTAAACAAAATTATATTAATGATTAAAATTGCATTAAGTAACATTTTTTTTTAATTTTTGATGCTTTAGTATATTACATGAAGAAAAAAATGAAATGAAAAAAAAGTGATAATAAATTTTGATATTTTCCATTAATAATTATTTTCATACTAATACTATTAATTTAATTATAATTGGAATTGCATCAATATATATTAATGATAAATAATATTATTACTTATACAATAATTAATCTAATCACTTCAATCGTTTTTTTTTTATCATATCCATAAATAAAAATTTTAGTGAAACTTATTAATTAAAATACTAACTAAAATCGCATAAATAATTTGTAATATCTAAAATTTTCATTCCAATAAATATTTGTATTATTTAAATAACACTTTTTTTTCTTCATAAAAAAATTTTTATACAACAAATGGAATTATTTATGTAAAATTATTTCTGATAAAAAATATAATAGTAAAAAATAAAAAAATTTGCATAAAGAAAGAAAAACAAAATTAACATAGTTGAATAATATAAAATGTTATCATATAAATTATTGTCATATCATTATTTTAGTGTCATATTAAACGATTAATAATGACAGAGCAAAATAAAACAAAGTTAATTAGTTTTTTTTTTTTTTAAAGTATTTCTTAGTTTAATAAATCTAATATTTAAAATAATATCATTTCAGTATTTTAATTATTATTTAATTACTGTTTATTAGTTAAATTTCTTTTCACTTTCCCATTTTGACTTTAGCTGTTAATAATTTAATTTACACATTCTGTAAATGTTATTTAATTTATTTGTCAGATCAGAAAAAGTTCGTAAAATAATTTTTCACAGTCATAAGGATGATTTTGCTATTGATATTGATATTCTAAAAGAACATTCCAAGAAAATTAAACAGGTTAACAAATTGACAAATATAATTTAATTTATTTTATAAAAATTTTTATTGTCATATATAAATTATTAAATTTTCAATCATAGAAAAAAAAATTTTAAATCAATCATTTTAATTTGATAATATTTAATTTTCAAGTATTTTCAGCAATTAATTGATAAAAAAATATAGCAAATTACAATAATAATAATAATAATAATAATAATAATAATAATAATAATAATAATAATAATAATAATAATAATAATAATAATAATAATAATAATAATAATAATAATTGAGCGAAATTCTAAAATTGTTAAAATTTTAAATTTACAGTTAGAAAAAGATGGTAAAGTACCAAAAATATTAGATTTTACCAATTACGATGTGACAGCACTGTCAACATTAGTTAATTATATGACAACTGATGGTAATACTAAAGCTCGAATTACAAATTCAATTCTTGGTGATATGACAGAAATTGCATATCTTTTAGAAATGGAATCTTTATTAGAAAAAATTGATAAAGTAAATTTTTTTTTGTTAAATTAATTTATTTAATTAATTATTTAATTTTAACACTTAATCAGTTATTTGTTTAATAAATTAATTAATTTAATTACTTCTATAATCAGTGTTAATAACTGTAAATAATTCTCCTTTTCCTTTTAAAAAGAGAAAGAAAAAACTGAAAAAAATAGCAATAATATCAAAATATATTATTAAAAGTGAGAAAAAAAAAACAATTATTATTTTTTTTTTAAACAAATTGCAGTTAATTATATTTGAATAAATTATTTTTAATATAATAAAATTTATTTCGTGTTTTAAACTTACACATCCATTTCAATTATTATGTATATTAATTTAAATTTAAAAAAAAAGAAGGAAGAGAAGATGAAAAAACAAATAAATTTCTTATGAAATAAAAATGAAATTCATATATACATTTGAATATATAAATAATTTTCCTTTAAAATTAGTTTATTTTTTCATTTTTAAATTTATTTCAAATTTTAATAAATTATAAAATAATACTACAGTTTTTTTTTTTTTATAATTTATTTTCAATTTAATATTTTATTTATACTCTTTAATCTAACCTTTTTTTATGGTTTATTTTTAATTTTACTAATTTAATTTAATTTTTTATAGTTTATTTTAATTTCAATTACACAAAATGAACAATTCCTGGTGCATACATTAGCAATGATTAGTATGCAATTATTATTGGATACAACATTAGGACGAAAAGTTATTGATATTGCTGTTAGCAAATTTCAAATTATTCGAAAGATGTCATCATTTAATGATGTCCCACTTGATGCTATGCTTCGTATTTTGGATCGGTTTACTTAATTCTTATTAATTTATTAATTAATTAATCAATTTCTTATATATATACGTTTAATTATTTATTTTTTATTTTTTGCATCAAATTTATAAAAATGATGGCTTTTCTTTTTTAAAATGTTTTATTTAATTCGTTTATTTTTTGCATCAAATGTTTCATTTAATTTAAAATCACAATATTAAACTGACTTTATTGAGAATTTATTTTGATTAATTGAGTAATTTATGTTGCAAATATATGCATAAATTTGACTGATCGATTTAGTTAATTAATTAATTAATTAATTAATTAATTAATTAATTAAACTAAATTCTTTATAAAAAAAAGTTTTTTTTTTATAAATATTTGCTTCTTTTTTTCTTATTTTCATTTTTTTTAACGGATAAATAATTAATTAACAGATGTGATTTAAATATAAGCAGTGAATTTGATGTAGTAGAAACAGCTATTTCATGGTTAGCTGCTAAACCGGAACGTATTCACTTTTCTTATTTAATCTTACGTTGCATACGTGTTGTTAATTTGACGTCTAATCAACGTTCTGATCTTTTTACGCTTGCAAAAACTGTGCCTAATTATGCACAAATAGTAGGTTTTTCTTTTTTTTTTTTTTAAAAAACTGCAAAATAGCATAGTTTCAAATTAAAGTTTAATTCCTGAAATATTGATTTGTTAATCAATTATAGTTATTAATTATATGTATTTATGCTAATTATATATTTATATAATATTTTCAACCTTTTTCTTTTTTCTCTTCTAAAAATATTAAAAAAAGTGTTTATAATTATTTTTTTTTTAAAAAAAAAATCTTACATAATTTGTATATATTTATTTATTTGTCTATTTGTTTATTTATTTATTTATTTATTTACCTATCTATTTATGCATTTATTTATTTGTCTATTTGTTTATTTATTTATTTATTTACCTATCTATTTATGCATTTATTTATTTGTCTATTTGTTTATTTATTTATTTATTTATTTACCTATCTATTTATGCATTTATTTATTTGTCCAAAAAAAAATATATATATATAAATTCTATTTTAAATTAAATTTTAGATGTCAGCATTTGCTCATTACACGTTTAATAATACAAATGCTTATCGTGTATGTGTATTAGCTGAACATAATTCATACAAACGTTGTGGTAATAAAATTGATTATCAACAATTTGTGTAAGATTTTTTTCTCAAAAAAAAAAATAAATAAATAAAATTATTATAAATTTTTTTTCAAAAATTTTAAAATAAAAAAAAGAAAAATTGAAAATTTAATATATAATATGTGAAATAAGTGAATGCTATTGAGAAAAAAAAAGGCATATTTTATATAAAATTAATTATTTCCAAAAAATTTTTCATATTAAATAATTTTTGACTAAATTTAATCATTTCATATTTATATATATGTATATAAATAATTTTGAGAAATTTTAAATATTGCATTTTTTGCATGATTTATGTCAATTTTAATAATTCTAAAAATTTAAATTCGCTATTACAATAAATATATTTTAGCAGAAAGAAGAAGAGAGGGAGAGAAAAAAACTTAATTAATACAAAACTGAAATAATATATTTAAAATATTTAATTTTCAGTATTAATGTACCAAGTCGAAAGATTGTGTATCGAAGAAAAGCACCACCAATTAAAGCATCTTATATTACAGCTAAACCAAGTAATTAATTAAATTTATTTTTGTTCATTAATTTTTTAGAAAATTTTATTAAATTATAAAATAAAATTGTTCTAATTAGATAAAATTATTAAATTTATAGTTTAGGGAGAAAAAAAAAGGGAAAAAAAAATTAAATTATAAATACTATTTTTATATTTTCAGTGATTTTTTTTTCACTTTTTTTCTTTCAAAATTTAAAAATTACATTTTTTCTTTCTTTTTTTTTTTTTTTTCAGAATTATCACCATCAAAAACAATAGATGATAAAAAAAGTGAAATAATTAGTGAAGGTAAAAATATGAAACGTTCGATATTTAGTATTTCACAAAAACGACGTACGACACGTGCTGAACGTATGGCAAATTACGCAAAAGAATATAAAGTTATGTTTAATTTATTATAATTAATGGTTAAATAATTAAAATTATAATAATTATTTCTGTTTCCTTAATGAAATTTAATTTTTTTTGAAAAGAAAAAAGAAAAAATTTTTCTTAAAAAAAGATTTTGAAAAGAAAAAAAAATTTTTTTTTCTTTTCTATTTTTTTATATCATTTAGTCAAATTTTCTTTTTTATTTTTGAGATAATTAAAAAATTTAGGAAAATACAATTTAATATTGAAATGTTTTTTTTTTTTTCAAAGTTAAAAAAAACATGGAAATATGTACAAATGCATATAATATAATATATATATTTTAATTAACTACAAAAAATTTTAATAAAATAGCAAAATTTTAATTTTCATTAATAATTAATTTAATTAATTATAGGTGGACAAAAGCGTAATATAATACCAACCGAATCAGCAAAAGGTCTTTTTTTTTTCGCATAATTTTATTGAAATTTTACATTTCTTTAAACTAACTAAAAATGAAATAATGAATTCTATAATTAAAAATAATTAAAATTTATAAAAATAATTTATAAAAAGAAAACCAAAAAAATTTATTTTTTTTTTCTCAGAAAAAAAGGATATTGTAATTAAGAATGAAAAAGATGAAAAGAAAGCATCAAAAGATGGAAATGGTATGAAAATTTATGCATTTTTTTTTTTTAAATGAATGAATGAAATTAAAGTGAAACTTTTTAAGTGAATGAATAAAATATAAATTATTTAAAAATTACAACTGCTAATTTATATAAGTAATAGAATTCTATCCAAAATTTTTTTTTTAAATAAAGTAAAAATAATTTTGAAATTTTGTTTAATTATTATTTATCATTTTCTTATTTTTAAAAAAAAAAATACAATTAATTTTGAAAGTATTTTGAAATTTTGAGCAATTTCGATAAATAATAAAATGTAAATAATTTTCGCTCAATTTTTACATAATATTTTTAAATTATGAAAGAAGAAAAACACAGAGGAGAGGGAGAGAGAGAGAGAGAGAGAAAAGGAAGAGAGATGGAAGGAAAAAGAGAAAGAAAATAATATTAGAAATAAATTTATTGATTAATTAATAATAATTATAGTTAAATATGAAATTGAAGTCAGAAAAGAAAAAGAATTTAAATGATAAATTCTGTAAAATTTTACAAACACAACGAAAAAAAATGGAAATTTTAAAGAGAAATTTAATTTCTATTTAAATAAGTATAAAAAAGTGTTATTTAAATGTTTTTTGTTTTTATAGTTTCAGATAAAACAAAAGGTAACAAAAATAAACAATCACGAAGACAACGTAAAACAGCTGGTAGTTCACCTGAAAGTGAAGGTTTTTTTTTTTTTTTATCACGTTTATTACGCTTACTTTGCTAAAAAATACGTTACGTTATATAATTGATTAATGAATGTTCACCTGAAAGTGAAGGTTTTTTTTTATCACGTTTATTACGTTTACTTTGTTAAAAAATACGTTACGTTATATAATTGATTAATGAATGTTTATTTTTGAACATAGTTAAATTAATTTTTTCTTCTTTTTGCTTAAAAAAAAATTTTTACTGCAATAATTAAATTGTACTATAAATTTTTTTCTTAAATTCTTTTTGTTTTAAGAGTCAAGTAATACGAGAAGTGTTGCAACTAGTAGTGATAAGAGTAGTGATTATAGTGGTGAAACAGATCAAAGCTCATCGATAACATCAACAACTACTGATAAGTCAGAATTACAGAATAAATGAAACAACTGATTGAAATAACAATTGTCAGTTTATGGATGATAAGTGATAACAGCAAATATTTTTATGATTATTATCTGATAAGCTAATAATGTGATAAGCATAGAATTATCAAAACTTACAAATCACTTATATATCATTTGAGCGTTTGTATTTTATTGGAAAGTAGTAAATAATCAATAAATGCGTACAAGATTATGCTTATATCATTATTTATCATCTCACAGTGATAATAATCATAAATTGTCTATGGATAACTGTAGATCACATCAATTCATAAATGTAATACTAAACTTTTCATTCATAATTTAAGAATAAGAAAATTAAGAATTTTTTTTTTTTTGAAAAAAGAAGAAAGAGCATTATTATCATTTTATTTTATCCAAAAATAGTACAAACATTGAAACAAAAACAAAGTAACAAAGTGTAAATTTAATAAATATCGTTCACTGGAAAAATTAGATTATCTTAAAATTAATCGAAATTAAAACTTAAAATATTTAATGCAAGTATAATTTTCGTAACTTCTAGTAGAATTACTAAAAGGCAATAGAATTAAATTTATTTAACATGTTTAGAAATACAGTCCATCCTAGTTATATCATTTGTAGATTGTTAATGATAATCCAAATATTTCTCTGTAGACATTAAGCTAAACAATTACTCTTTTCTGTTCATTGGGAAGAATATCTGTTACATTGTGAACAATATTCTATTGAAATGATTCAAATTATTCGAAAAATTTAATTCGTTATTGTTTAATAATATTATAATATTAATCTTTTAATACCAAAAAGCTGACAAAATCTTCAATCAATTTGTGGAATTTTATAACAGAAGATAAAAAGATCAAATTTTGTATTGATAATTCCACAATAAGTCTTTATTTTCTTTATTGCATGATACAGATAAATAGATCATCCAACCAATTATTTTGTCCAAAATTTAAACAAAGAATTAGATATACAAATGAAAATGAAATGACCGGCTAAAAAAATCAGTGCTAAATTGAATATCCCGTACCATTCTACATTTTCTTCATGACAAAAGCATGGAAAAGATTTCAAGGACTGGTGATATTAAAGCTTCCAAACAATTCAGATAGCAGCGAAAAAAAAAAAGCTCTCACAGCCCAGAAATGCAATCATTTAATCACAAATTACTTCCCATGTAATTAATATCATGATAATTCAGCCTTCCAAGCGCCCTGAAATTTAGTAATTTAGGTTTGAAATTTCATTTTTAAAAAATGTACACATGGACGATGTCTACTAACAACGTGAAAACGGCATCATAACAATAAGTGCGGCAGTGTGCCTTTAAAAATTTCGAAAGTCTTCACAAAAATCATATGAAATTGAGAATAATACATACTTTTTTATCTAATTTCATTTTTTCCAATTGTAGAGCAATTTGTTGCGCTCGAAATGTCAATCGTTTTGTATTTTCCATCACTTGTTCATGAACAGATGTAGTTTTAGCACCCATAACAACCTTTAAAACAAATTAATCAGCTATGGAAATAAAAAACAGAAATATATAAAGTATCATTCGAACTATTCAACATCTCCACCTTACATTAACTTTCATGGTGATAACCTAGCACAATTTTAAATAACAATAAAGAAATGTAAAATTTCGAGCAATGTCGACAAACATACCTGTCCAAGTTTGGAGTCAATTTTGGCACCATCAATACGATAAGTTCTAATTAAATCAACAATCCATCTTTCTGCTTCTACCTGAAATACAACTCTCGTATAATGATTCAGAAAATTTTTATTTTAACTGGCTTACCTTATGAATTTTCCATTGTTCCACGTTGCAGCACGACTTAACTTACAAAATAAAAAAAAATTTTTTCTGAAAGAATTGTATGCATACCTGCTGCATATTAAGACGCTCGGCAAGCATTTGTATCGAAATACACTGATGAATTCTGCAGAACATTTCAAAAATCAACAACCTAGCACTTTCTCGGAAATCTTCTAAGCAAGCAGTCAGAAAGAAATCATTTGATAAAACCTGAAACTGCCATAATAATTCACAACTATGACGAGAATCTTTCTTTTAGCCAGAAAGATGGTATAAGGTACTCAAAAATAAAAATAAACTGACATCTTCGCACTTCCTCAACTTTTTTTGCGCCTCGTCGAAATCATACTTAATATAAAGACAAGTTAAGAAGTCGGTAACTGGATCTTCATAATTATGCCGTTCCTTGAAAAAAAAAAAAAAAAGATTAATGAAGAAAGAGAACATTAAATAATCAAAAAACTAAACAATCAAAACGAGGTATAATAATAAAATCGATATAAGCCTATCCTCGTCGTATGCACAATTTATCTGTTCACAATAACTTATTATCGTCAATTACATTTAGCTCATATTTCATTAAAATAACTTACAATGTCGATTACTTTGATCAAATCTTTCAAACTATTTTTCTGCTTTGTTTTACTCGTTACAACTGCTACAGCCAAATATCGTAAAAGATGCGGACAAGCTATCTAAAATAATAGTCAAAATATGTCGCTTATATTTTATATATACAAGATGAAAAAAAAAAGAGTTATTATTACTGTAAAGTATAATAAGGGAGCTAAGGAGAAAAGAATTCCTGTAATATAAACATTCTGAATGCCGTACGCTTATGGATCACGTGAAATGGAGAAGTGTAGAGCACTGTGCCATGCGTATATGGAAACGAATGCTTGTAATTTTTTTTTAGAAGATAAAAAAACATAGGAAAGATTAAAAAAAAAACATATACATTACAGAACTACCTGTATTGTATTCAAATACGGCTGCTGATTGAGATACATTTCAACAATTTCATCGCGTCCTTTCGGATAGTTGAAATAAACGAAAAGAGCCCAATGCATT